ACAGACCAAAAACTGACCTGAAACTGTCCTGAAACAGACCTGAAACAGACCTGAAACATTCCTGAAACAGACCTGAAACATTCCTGAAACAGACCTAAAACAGACCTAAAACTGACCTGAAACAGTCCTGAAACTGACCTGAAACAGACTGGACACTGACCTGAAACAGACCTGAAACTGACCTGAAACATTCCTGAAACAGACCTGAAACATTCCTGAAACAGACCTAAAACAGACCTAAAACTGACCTGAAACAGTCCTGAAACTGACCTGAAACAGACTGGACACTGACCTGAAACAGACCTGAAACAGACCTGAAACTGACCTGAAACATTCCTGAAACTGACCTGAAACTGACCTGAAACAGACCTAAAACTGACATAAAACTGACCTGAAACAGTCCTGACACTGACCTGAAACAGACTGGACACTGACCTGAAACAGACCTGAAACAGACCTGAAACTGACCTGAAACATTCCTGAAACAGACCTGAAACATTCCTGAAACAGACCTAAAACAGACCTAAAACTGACCTGAAACAGTCCTGAAACTGACCTGAAACAGACTGGACACTGACCTGAAACAGACCTGAAACAGACCTGAAACTGACCTGAAACATTCCTGAAACAGACCTGAAACAGACCTAAAACAGACCTAAAACAGACCTGAAACAGACCTGAAACAGACCTGAAACAGTCCTGACACTGACCTGAAACATTCCTGAAACAGACCTGAAACATTCCTGAAACATTCCTGAAACAGACCTGAAACAGTCCTGACACTGACCTGAAACATTCCTGAAACAGACCTAAAACATTCCTGAAACATTCCTGAAACAGACCAAAAACTGACCTGAAACAGACCTGAAACAGACCTGAAACTGACCTAAAACTGACTTAAAACAGTCCTGAAACAGACCTGAAACATTCCTGAAACTGACCTGAAACAGTCCTGACACTGACCTGAAACAGACCTGAAACATTCCTGAAACAGACCTGAAACATTCCTGAAACAGACCTGAAACAGACCTGAAACATTCCTGAAACAGACCTGAAACATTCCTGAAACAGACCTGAAACAGACCTGAAACAGACCTGAAACAGCCCTGAAACAGACCTGAAACAGCCCTGACACTGACCTGACACAGACCTGAAACAGCCCTGAAACAGACCTGAAACAGACCTGAAACAGACCTGAAACAGCCCTGAAACAGACCTGAAACAGCCCTGACACTGACCTGACACAGACCTGAAACAGCCCTGAAACAGACCTGAAACAGCCCTGACACTGACCTGACACAGACCTGAAACAGCCCTGAAACAGACCTGAAACATTCCTGAAACAGACCTGAAACAGACCTGTAACAGCTTCATGTTGTTCCTGACTCGTGCTTCGTTGTGTCTCTGACAGCTGAATAAAAGCAGCTGCAGCTGTAGAAGCTTCACAGTGAGTGAAACAGGATGTTGAACAGAAAAACGTCTGCACACAAACTAAAGGCCTGTTTTACCTCTGATTTAATTCTCCTCTTCTCATGATCCGGCAGAAACACCAAAATCCTCATTCTCTCTGATTTCACACACACTCTGAGCTGCTTGTGTTTCCTTTCTGCTCACAGAACAGATGAGAAATCTTTAACACAAAACAGAAGCACTCCCACAGCTTCATAATCTCCCTAAACACACTGACGCTCATGCTCAGGCTCCGCCCACAGAAAGAGGAAGTATAGAAAACTGAAGTGATACTGTGTCAGCACCATGCACGGCCACATCAACAGCTGCAGACGCAGCAACATGCAAAAACACAAGAAGACAAAACATCTGGACTGTCACTGCAGACTGGCTGCATCATCATCATCATCATCATCATCATAAGCCCCGCCCATTTTTGGGACACAAAAAAAAACCCACAAGATTTTTCCCTAACACTTGATCTTGTTTGTATTTCAAATTCTTACAGCAAAAGAATGACAAGTCCGATTATTTATCTTAATCTTTTTTGTCACTTCAGTAGAAAACTAAACCAAATAATATTAGTTTATTTAGTTTATTTATTTCTTCATCATCAGTGACTTTTTTATCTTAATATTAAGA